GTTTATGCTGGATTCATTCAAATCAACAGACTGAAGTCATTTAAGGTTTTTACTGAAGCCATACCAGCTTGTCAAAGCCTGATCCCATCAGATCTCAGAAGCTAAACAAGGCCAGACCTGGTTAGTACTTGGATGTTAGAACGCTGGGAAAATCAGGTGCCACAATTGGACGCCAGTCGTAAAAACTGTTGTTGTGTCCTTAGGCAAGGCATTTCACCCACATTGCCTAGTATGAAAGTGGTGTGTGTATGAGTGTTGGCGGTGGTCAGAGGGGCCGATGGTGCAGATTGGCAGCCTTGCTTCCATCAGTCTGCCCCAGGGCAGCTGTGGCTACAACAGTAGCTTACAACCATCAGGTATGGAGTGAATGATGCTCTGTAAAGCGTCTTTGAGTGTCCAAAAAAGTGCTATATAAAACTGATTATCATTATTATTTGAAGCAGACATTAGTAAAAACCTGCAAATACATCAAAAGGATTAGATTTTAAACAAACGTGCATTTTACTAGCCTTTTTTCAGACTTTGAGTTTTCAGACACTTTAGTTTAAATAACCAATTAATTTTAGTCAAATCAAAATCGTAGAATATTATGGAAAGATGGCATCTGTTAGCCTTAAACAACATGAGCATGTGTCTAGACCAGTGTTTTGTTTTTTTTGTGGGGACCCATATTTTAAAAGTCACAATCCTTTGTGACCAAAGTCAATAGACATTATTCGTTCCTCCTCATTAATGAGGATATTTTATTACTCATTACTCAAGTTTTAAACAATGAAAAACAGTCATTGAAGCAGCAATAAAAGGATCCATAAGTCGTCTATTTGGACATTAAATATATATCAGGTATATAGGCAGAACTGTATATTGCAGACCTACATGCAGATCATGACAAGGCAACCTAAAACAAAAATTTTTGCGACCCGTCTGAGGGTCACGACCCAATCTTTGACAAACAATGATCTAGAAGACCACATCTCACAGCACACTGGTGTTACTCAGAGGTGTTTAATCATATTGTACCAGGGTCTCACCAACTGACAGCAGATAGTATTAGAATTCTCACTGACTCTAGGAGTTTTAACCATATTTTACTCTAAGCATGATCAAACTTGCACTGTTGCCTTGAAACTGATCCAAGTGAGTTTTGTAGTAAGTTGCAATGAATTTCTTTTACTATAAAGAATCTTTGCTCCAACCCAGCTCAAACTGATCTCAAATGTATATACAGTCGTGGATAAAATTGTTGGTACCTCTCTGGTAAAGAAAGATCAGCATTTTTTTACTGAAAAAACTTGAAACTAAGAAAAGCAATAATATATATTTTTTTTTTTAATCCTGAAAAATAACCAATGAAAATCAGCCACTGTTTTTGAATTGTTTTTCAAAAGAATTATTCAAAAAAACAAACTAATGAAACAAGCCTGGACAAAAATGATGGTACCCCTAGCAAAGATTGTAAATACTTGGACAACAGGGACATTTTAAATTTTGGTGTGTCTCTAATCTGCATCACATGTGTCTTCAAACTTGTCCTCAGTCAGTCTGCCTGTTTAAAAGTCATTGTGTCATTGTGCTGTTTGGAGATATGATGGGCACAACACTGAACATGGACCAGAGAAAGAGAAGAAGATGCAAAAATGAAGCAGACCAAGAAAAGAACACTGTCCCTACTGTGAAGCACGGAGGAGGCTTGGTTTTGTTCTGGGGCTGTTTTGCTGCATCTGGCTCAGGGCGTCTTGAATCTGTGCAAGATACAACGAAATCTCTAAACTATCAAGGTATTTTGGACCAAAATGTGTTGCCTAGTGTCAGAAAGCTTGGTCTCAACTGTAGGTCATGGGTTTTCCAGCAGGATAATGACCCAAAACACACAGCTAAACACACCAAAGAATGACTAAGAACAGAACATTGGACTGTTCTGGAGTGTTCTTCTGTGAGTCCAGATCTCGATTTCTACTGAACATCTGTGAAAGGAGCTGAAACATGCTGTCTGGAGAAGGAACCCTTCAAACCTGAGACAACAAGAACAGTTTGCTCACAGGAAATGGGTCAATATACCAGTTGACCAGTGAAATTGTTTGTTTGCATCAAAAGGTTGTGCAACAAAATATAAAGTTAAGGGAACCATCATTTTTGTCCAGGCCAGTTTCACTATTTTTTTCTAATAATTCTGTTGAACTACAGGTGAAAAGCAATGTTTGATTTTTGTTGGACAATTTTCAGTAAATTTTTATTTATTATCAGATTCAAGTTATTTCAGTGACCATTGTTGATTTTTCTTTCATTGCCAAAGGGGTACCAACAATTTTATCCACGACTGTATATGTGAAAATAAACTTTAATCAATGTATTTTTGGAGATGACAAAGTTTTAACCCCCAAAAATATAGTAAATGTAAAGATATTTTTTGCTTCAGAATGAATACTTTTCGATACTACAGTGAGTATTGATATATCAGTATTTGTCTCTACATTGTACTACACACTACATGATGATACTGAGTTTACCTGAAGTACAAATATACATAAACTGGCTCTTATAAACATTGTATTTGCTCGTATCGCCATCATCTTGTCACATTGTCTTTTCCTCTCTATCCCTCTCTCCTCCATCTGTGAAAGCCTCTGAATCAGTTTGAGGCCTATCAGCATCACCACAGCTACAGCTAATCACAGCCTATTCACTCCACACTCCCACAATCCCCCTCTCCACCGGGGTCTGCTCCTCCTGCGTGCGTGGGAGGGCATCATGTTTAATGGATGAGCGCGCTGATAGACTTATTCATAGGACAGTGCGCTCCCCCGGGCCGCTCTCCTTCAGGCGGGGACAGTGTACGCAGATGAGGGGACTCTGGGAGAGAAAAAAAAAATGAAGTTGAGAAATGGCCCGAGAGCAAATGTGTGGAAAAAGTGCTGATGTCTAAACTGCGTCCACTTAGCAAAGCAGCCGGGAAGTTTTACATACTGCCAACATCACAACGCGGGATTGCCCAGGTGGGGGTTCTTAAAGCAGTTTTTAAAGCTTTGAACCAAGTGAGAGTGGTATCTCTTCTCATTTACCCTCTCAAGGTTGTATTTACAGAGTTTCCCCTCTTTTTCACTGACAACATTTCAAAACTTTTTCATGACTTTTTCATGACCTAAAGTGAATTTTCTGTGACTTTACAGCACCTACATGTGTAGAAATAGCACATGTTTAGGGTTAAATATGAAATGTTAACCCTTTCCACTCCAGTTCCAGTTTTTTAACATTCAAAATACTGTCAGTGCATTTATTGTCGTCTCTCTTAAACAAAAGGGACATATGTTCGGAAATAATCATAATAGCCTATAACTTAACAGAATGATGTAGTTGTGTGAAAGAGATACTACAATTCTAGCCTGATTCATCAGACGGTTTCACTTCGTAGAAACTTTCTGACCTCGCAGCATTAGGATTTGTTCGCTCGACCCAATCGCTGTTATTTGGTTGTGACATATGTAATGCGCCGCTAACAGGGTTAACTGTATATTAAGCTTTTCCCAAATCCTGTAGGAAGAAGGACAATAACGTCTTTCCCCTTGATAAAATTAGCCAAACATTCTCTTTATTTCGGCTTTAAATCCTCAATCTCGAGAATCGTTGCCAACACTGAATGTATGTCTTCATCTACATCCATCTGGACCACTTTGTTTACTGTTGTGCTGGACCACAAAAGGGACCCAGACAGGAGCTTGAGTTTGACTTCACAGCTCTTCGCTGATTGGTCGGTGCGTGGTCTACAACTTCCGGGTTACGTCGATCCCGATCTACCAGTCTATCGCCAAGGTCGTGTGGGTAGATCGCGTTTGGACTCGGTCTTGTCTCTCACTCAAGGTCTGACACTCAACAAGTGTGATCATATTTCATTACGGCCGCTGCTGTTGGTAATAAACTTGTAGCGGGTGCAGGAGCGTGTGGGGCGTCTCAGTGCAGCCTGTGCGCTCATTTGAAACCCGCGGAGACTCTACGGCACATCACAAACACACACGCTCCCTATGCACGGCTCGTCTGCGACAGCGTGTGCCCTCGTGTACCAGCGTGCATCACAGGGCAGGTTCAACTTCCTAAACATCCTACCTGTCCATCTGCCTCACGTCAGCACGCCGCCCCTCGCCTTTTCATGCTCTCGCTCCTTCCTGCGTACAGCGAACACAAGCCCCCTCCCACAGTGCGGCTGATTAGAAGAGCAAGACCAAACGTGAAGCAAAAACCAGTCTAAATTTGTGTTCCAGTGTTGGCACAAAGCAGGTCTACAACATAGAGCAGATCTACAGAACAGACCTACTGCCACATTTGGCTGAAGTTTGTCTAACAAAAGTGCACAAATGCATCTGTGTTTGTCACGATGTGCGTTTGGTTTGGTAAACGTGCAGAGGCTGATAAATATCACTGCAAAACCAGAAAAGAATGTAACTCCAGTTTGGAACTTTAAAAAACAGGTTTAAAAATCTTGCTTCACTTTTTTCACAGTTTTGTGTAAAGTGCCAGAGGAAGTTCTCTTAAAGAAGAGGTTCTCAAACTGTGGGTGAGGGTCCAAAAAAGGGGCACAGAGTGTTTCAGTGCAGTTTGCTTGGCTTTGTATTAGGTAGATCATTCTGACTTGGCCATTTTGTAAGTAGCTCGCATGCTGAAAAAGTGTGAGCTCCCCTGATCTAGTGTATTCTGATTCCTGACCTAGTCGGCACCAGTGGCTACTAAAATACCATGAATTTTCCAAAACTTTCATTGAATTTACAAAACTCCATGACTTTTCCAGGCCTGGTAAATGACATTTTCAATTTCCATGACTGTGGCAACCATGTATTTAGAGTGATTTGAGCATTTTTGAAGGTGCACTGTGTAACTTTTCTGGTGGGAAAAGTTACACATCACCAGAAAAAGTTACACATCTATATATACAGTTTAGTAGTGAAAAGGGTAGATTTAGTGTTTATTTCCACTTTAATGGTTAAGTATTTTGTGGCTGTGATGTGTTGCAGCCGTGCACCCGGACGCGCTTCAGAGAGAGGACGGCGTACGTGCTGCGCTCGCCCAGCGTGGGGCGCCAGTGTCCCAACACCACAGACAGAGAGCCCTGCAGCCTCAACCTCAACTGCTTCAACTACTTCTACAACATCACAGGTATGTCAGAGTACAAATACTACATCATAAAGTACTTCTACAACATCACAGGTATGTTAAAGTACAAATACTACATCATAAAGTACTTCTACAACATCACAGGTATGTCAGAGTACAAATACTACATCATAAAGTACTTCTACAACATCACAGGTATGTCAGAGTTCAAATACTACATCATAAAGTACTTCTACAACATCACAGGTATGTCAGAGTTCAAATACTACATCATAAAGTACTTCTACAACATCACAGGTATGTTAAAGTATAAATACTACATCATAAAGTACTTCTACAACATCACAGGTAGTACAAATACTACATCATAAAGTACTTCTACAACATCACAGGTATGTCAGAGTTCAAATACTACATCATAAAGTACTTCTAAAACATCACAGGTATGTCAGAGTACAAATACCACATCATAAATAACTTCTAAAATATCCCAGGTATGTCAGAGTGCGACTACTACATCATAAAGTACTTCTACAACATCACAGGTATGTCAGAGTACAAATACTACATCATAAAGTACTTCTGCAACATCACAGGTATGTCAGAGTTCAAATACTACATCATAAAGTACTTCTACAGCATCACATATATGTCAGAGTACAAATCCTACATCATAAAGTACTTTCTACAACATTGCAGATATGTCAGAACGCAAATACTACCTAAAAAATACTTCTACAACATCACAGGTATGTCAGAGTATGAATACAAAATCATAAAGTACTTCGACAACATACAAATACTACATCACAAGGTAAACTATTAATTAGAATGTATAACCCCCACTTCCACCTGTGCATACTGTTGTTGTGTCCTTTAGCAAGGATTAAAACTATGTAAGGCACTGCTTCGGGTGGTTTCTTTGTGTGTACCATGTTCCCTGCATGAAAATAGTTCTCTTTTAATTCTAACAACCTTTTAACTGAGTTGTTTTCTTTTTAGATGAGGCTAGTCCCTCCTATTAATAGTTCATTTGTTGCTACGGCGATGGCTCACAGTGTGGTGATATAGAACTGTTGCCAGAACTACCTCTTCGGTCTTACAATAATAATGCACGCCAATTCTCATTATAATTCTCACTGACCATGGTGTAATTATACTTTTTTATTTTCTGCAGTCGTATTCTGGGTTGAGCCTTAGTTTTCTTAAGATATAGACTGAACCTACTACTGAGAGCTTTACACTTTTGTCTTTATTTATTTATTTATTTCGGTCACAGGTATATTTTGACATTAATTCACAAACAGTCATATTTAACATACACAGACCGAAAAGGTGTAGGCTGAAGCTTATTATGCCTACTCTTTATTCCTGTGTCAGAGCGTCATCTTGACACCAGGTCATCTTCAAAAATACAGCAGGAGGAAACAAACAAATCAGTAACAGAACAACAAAGTTCTACAGCACAAACTAAGTCTCATATTTCATGTATCTGTCCAGAGTTAAACATTTAAACTTCTTTATAAAGTGAAAGAGACTGGGGCACAATTTGAGGTTTTCTGTACAGTTGTTCCACAGCTCCAGCCCTTTAACAGATTTACAAAATTTCATAATGTTTGTTCAGATTTTCTTTTTGATAAACATGGTCGTGCCTCTGAGCTCATATCGGCTCTTTTGGATTTTGAACATGTTCTGCAAAGATTTTGACAGGAGATTGTTGTTTACTTTGAACATGATTTTCAGAGTATAAAGGTCGACTAAATCATAACATTTCAGCGTTTGAAGGTTTATAAATAATGCATTGGTTGGTTCGTTATAAGTTGATAATGTGATTGCTCTTGTTGCCTTTTTTGCAGAGTAAAGACTGGATTTGTATTAGTCTTATATGTATTATTCTTTATTATTATTCTTTATTTCAGACCACTGTCTCCAGAGTACCACAAAAAGTCTGTACTCTTTCCACTGCCCCCCAAAAGACTCAACTCAAAACACTCTAAATTGCTTGTTTGAATTTTGCCCAGATTGTTATGTCACAGGTAAAACTCTGGACGTAAATATTTAAGGCATTTACAAACAAGTTTTTCAGATTCACAGGTGAGACATTTTAGTTTGTAGCCGTCGTAGAAGTACATAAAAAAAAAACTTGGAGTCACATTTTGCTGTTTAAATGCACTTTGTAGAGGAAAACTACTCCTCATTGCAAAATGAGAAATCCGATTTGTCAACAGTTCTGTTTGTTAGCTCAGCCTATTGAACTTGCACTGAGTGTGGGGTTATATTAGCATAACCAATCAGGGCCGTAATGAGTGTTTTCACACCTCTGGACCTGACCTGGCTACCCCTGTTGTTTTCTTTCTTTGTTTTGATTTAGGTTTGAGGATAGAGTTATAAATGGGAAACAGATCATGTCTGAGGCCTCCATTTCTGTTCAAGGAAGGCTTCTCTTAGTGAGAAACGTTCAGTAGGCCGAAACTGTAAACAAATAGGTGTGTTAGTTTCAGAGTAGTTTCAGTGTAGTTAGCTCCTCCCTTCAGGCAGATATAAGGCAGTGTCCAGCAGCGTCTGACCAAAACTGAAGAAGTAGCTTGGATGAGCTGCGAAACCTATTCAACCTAAATAAACGTTTCGCCAGTTAAAAGATTTAGTTTCTCCTTTTGCCATTGATTTTACCTGGACGACTGAGGGATTTCACACACTACTCTTCATTGTTTAATACTTACTTAATCCATCTTCATAAACATAGTATACCTTATAGTCTCTGCAGTCATAGTTTTTAGTCTTAGTTTTCATAAGATACACACTGAACCGACTCCTTTACTGTTCCGTCTATATTTCCGTCCTCTGTTTCCGTTCCCCTGAGCACTACAACACTTTGGATCTCAAGGATGTACTCTCCCAAAGTCCCCCAAAACACTACACTCTAAGCACTCAGAAATGCGTTGTTTGAATTTTGCCCAAATTGTTGCGTCACAGATAAAACCCTAGACTTTCCATGCACAGTTTTAAGTCGAGTGAGGCGGCACTAATTCTCACTCTGTATTGTTAACTAACTAACTAGAATGTTGCTGGACTTAACCCTAGTTCAGCCTGTACATACTGCTGTGTCCTTTAGCAAGACACCACGAGACACTTTTCAAGTCACCACATGAGTGAGTTAAAACAGAGTAATGCACTGCTCAAAGATGTTTAATCTGCGAATACCATAGTCCCACAAACTGAAAATAGTTCATTATGATTATGCCCCTGACGAAGACCATCTTGCCGGTCGAAATGCTTTGGCGTCCCTCAAATTAATAAAAGACTTTTAATATATTCAGTCGGAGTGCCTCGGGTTTGTACCTTGCCTGCTTTTACATTTTTCAGTAAGGGCAACATTCTGTTAAGATTACCAGTTTAACCCTTGTAGTGCACCTGTACTGCTATTTTTTGACTTTTTTATGACCCAGTGAAGCACTCTACCTCTTTTCTTCACTTCTGACAGTCTTTTAACTGTGTGTGGATTTTCAAAGCACGATTTATTTCTGTTCTAGTTCAAGCGAGTCCCTCCAGGTAATAGTTCACTTGTATGTACCGATTACTATGGTGTTACCCACAGCGTAGTGATATAGAACAGTTATTAAACACTTTTGCTTGAACTACCTGTGCAGTTATTCAAAAATAATGCACGGATGTACCCGATATTCAAGTTACTACTCAAGCATATACCGTGGATGAAATATTGTCATTTAAGTAGTGATGGGCGAATGGAGCCTCGTGAAGCATTGACACCTCAGTCGCAATACTGTCTCAAATGGTTCGACGTGTCTGAGGCCTTGGAGAAACACTGACCTCTAGTGGACAAATTTAACAATAAGACAATACTTGTGTGCAGAGCATACACCGTACCTAACAACAACAAATGATGATTTAAAATAATATGTAAAGAGCAACAGAAATAACATGCTGTAAATAAGAAAAGAGGTAAAAAAAATAAAATAAATAATGCAAGGCGATTAGTATTAGGCTTCCCACTGCCCATAGTATAATGTGTACCATATTTCCCGCACTATTAGTCGCTCTGGATTATAAGGCGCACTGTCATTAAATGGTCTATTTTCGAACTTTTTTCACAAATAAACCACACCAGACTTTAAACGAAACACAACAGTTGGATGGGTGAGTGGGATTTTGTTTGTAGCGTTCACGGTGACTCTGGGCTTTGTTCAGTTGTGGCGTGTAGAGAGGGTGCTGTCTGGGACCAACGGATTGTCGGCGTGTTCGCAGTGATTCAGTTGTTCAGTCGTGCCTAGAAATGGCACATTGCACTCGCTTTTTTCGGTTCGTTCCTCCGTTCCTTTCCTCGTCGGTGTGGAGTGATGAGTGTGTCTGTGGGTGTGTTTCGCTGTGCGGTCGCTGTCTGCTCCGTGTGTGTTTGTGTGTTCTGCGGGTGGTGCGGCTTTGTAGTTTACTGAAGTTGTGCTGGGACACCCAAGTGGATTCGTGTATAGGGTGCTCTGGATTGCGGGGCGCGCAGTCGTTTTTTTGATGGGGTTGGAGGCTTAAGATAGCCCGGAAAATACGGTACCTTATATTTTCTGCAGTTGTATTCTGGGTTGAGCCTTAGATTTTATAAGATACAGACTGTACTTACTACTGAGAAGTTTAAGTTTAATCTTTATTTCCGTCCCTGGTCTTGAGATCACCTCAACAAGCATGAACTCTTCCCAATGCCCCCCAAAAACTCCACTCTAAGCCCTCAGAAATACTTTGTTTGCATTTTGCCCAGATTGTTGCATCACAGGTAAAACCCTAGACTTTCCATGCACAATTTTAAGGCTGTTAACTAACTAACTAGAATGTTGTTGGACTCAGCCTGTGCATACTGTTGTGTCCTTTAGCAAGACACCATGAGACAATTCACAGCATAAGTGAGAGTTAAAACTGCTAAGAGTTGTTTAATCCGCTGATACTATAGTCCCACAAACTGAAAATAGTTCATTATGATTATGCCCTGGCGAAGACCATCTTGCCGGTCGAAATGCTTTGGCGTCCCTCAAATTAAT